GCTACCGCTACTGCTACTGCTACTGCTACTGCTACTGCTACTGCTACTGCTACTGCTACTGCTACTCCAACTACCACTACTACTACTACTACTACTACTACTACTACTACTACTACTCCTCCTACTCCTACTGCTACTGCTACTGCTACTGCTACTGCTACTGCTACTGCTACTGCTACTGCTACTGCTACGACGACGACGACTGGTACTGCGACTACAACTACCGACGACGACTAGAACTACAACTACAACTACGACTATGACTACGACCACCACTAGTACTGACTACTGACTACTGCATTGTGGATGCGCTTATTACTATTGCACGGGGTTCTTAATGCACGGACGTAGTGTGCTACCAACACCACTGGTCACCACTACCATTTGACGATGTTGATGATGACGATGATGATAAGTGTCATTTTTCCTACAGTGATGCCGATGGTGATGGGGATGGTGATGGGAACGGTGTGGCAATGGTGATGAAAGGTGGCGAAGGCGGTAGTGCCATACTATTCTAACTGTTGCAGTTGGTGGCGCATCCCCGCCCAGTAGCCTGAAGCTCGAATAGCCTTTCCGAGTACTTCTCCCTCTCCGGGATGCTCCAACTGGCAGGGTCAAAGTCACTTGTGCCGTGCAGAGTGGCCGCTGAACTTCGACTTACCAGAGTCAGCCAGGTTTGCAGAAGCTTGAAACAATGCTGATGGCAAACAAACAGAACGCCGTCAGGCCCACGTAACTCCCAAGGCATTTCCACCTGAGAGCCCGGGCTCCAGAGTTTCCAAGATCAAGGTAAGTCTGCGGACGTACATATGTAAAGTGGGAAGAGTGTAAGCTTCACAAGCGCTGAGAGGTTGGCAACATGGGCACTCACTCATGATATCGTTGCAGTCTGCATACTTTGAGACAATTAGGCTTCATCTTCAAGTGCTAGAATGTCGGCAATGTCAGGCTTTCGCCTTGCGCAGCAACTGTTTGCATTACTGTATTTCAGAATCACTCAAAAATCCCTATAGAAACAGTGAAAGCACGCAGCCTTCTCCTTCTTGTTAAACCGTACTGTATACGCTATTTTGGACTAGGACCGGAAAACTACGCGGCAAGCTCGCGAGCTGATGAAAGCTCGGAGCCCGCGCGCGGCATGATTGTCGCTTTGTGCACCGGGTCCTTCCAGGCAGACACGTACAGTAGAAGTCCGTAGAAGCTCGTGCAAACGTGCACTGGACTTTTCGCCATCTCGCAGACTGAGACACCCCGCCGCCCCCGAGTTGCCAATGGAGACCAGCGTGTGGCCACCTTCGTGGTACCTGGCCCCGCATACTACCAGCGCCTTTGGGATCTCACCATGCTGCAGAGCATGCGGATGCTAAGCTGCATACGCAGTCAGCGTCTTCTCTTGCTCGCTCATGGGATTTCTCCTTTCGAGGCCTGCAGGGCAGTCTCCTGTGCATTTTCAATCTGCGCGTTCTACACCAACCGGATACTGACAAATGCTCAGCACTGAACTCAGCGTGCTTGACAAGACTGCAACAGCGCACCTACGACGACTCGGTCGAACGCTTCCTCCAGATACTTCGTCGGAATCTGCGCAAATTGCGAAATGTCATAGAATCGCAAAAGGAAACCCAGGTTGCTTGAGCAACCCCTCTGCCCGGAACACTGAAACATACTGCGATCACGCTAGAAGGGCACACGAGAGCGTACATTTTCTGTTGGTTGCCATGAACAGACAACATAGCTTGGAGACTACAGGAAGTTTGACGATGCTGATCTTGGCAGAAGGAAGCCATTGCGCCCACACCATGGCGCGCACACAAGGCAGGTTGTCGGCGGAGGAGCGAACGGCTGCGATGTTGAGGATGTTGGCCAAGTCGGCACCTGCCAGACGTCGGCACTCAAGCTCTTCAATGTAGAGCCTAAGGTACCGAGATGCTGCACCGCTGGAAAAAGCACATTTGACTGTTGATCTTGTTGGGATTAGGAATCTAGCAGAGCACAAGCATGCTGGAATATGTGGAATATGGGGGGGGGGGGGGGTGATCCTAAACGCCAAATGCCACCCGCATCACCGTGAAGTCTGGGCAGCTCTGCGGTGAGTAGAAAGCTTGGCTGTAAGTAAGCATGTGGACGGACGGACGCACGGACGAAGGGGTTACGAATTCTTATACATACGCATGTGCATGCAAACACATGTCCACTACCCGCATTTGAGTGTTTTTCGTATATATGCCGTTATCTATCTATTTGGTTCGT